TGGGTATTTTCTCAGAAATGACCAAACACAGAAATAAATGATACATTATATTTATATATTAGGTAAAGAAATTACCTTAAAACATTGAATCAAGAAACAAATATAGCAAAACTTGATTGGACAGAAGCCACTTCACTGAGGTTCATTGAAATTTAATTCACCAACCCCCTGTTCCAACTGTAGATGGTGAAAATGATTTGTAATGTGTTCCTCGTCAGGCCGGTCACAGTGGTAAAACAGTACCTGAACTTGAAAAGACCATTGGTTTGATGAAGAAGGTGGTGGAGAGGGTGCAGAGGGAAAATGAGTCACTAAAGAAATCCAGCGCACCTCCAAATCAAGACAACGTAGCTGCCTTGGAACAAGAAAATGAAAAACTAAAGGTTGTTGACCTCATGTCATGTCTACTGTGTCATACACATTCTGCTGGACATGTTTTATTATCATCTCTGTTCTGTTCCTGCAGCTGACATTAAATACTGTTTATTTTCTAGGCTGACTTTGAGAAACTCAAGAGTCAAAGTGAAGCTGAGCTGAGTTCCAAACTTGAATCTAAAACTAAAGGACTGGAGAAAATAGTGATGGAAAATGAACGTCTACGCAAGGAGATCAAAAGGGTAACTACATATATGTTTGTGTTTAGGATCCAGAAAATAGATTTCAAAGTGTTGATTCTGTTTCCTATAAACTCTGCCGGTCACAGAGCCAAATTTGATGTGGCAAAAAAAACATATTTGTGCCAGAGGTACTTTATATGGCCATGTTAACTCAAGTAATATTTAATACTGAGTGGCCAACAACTGTTTTTATGACAGAAGTTGTCTTTTTTTTTTTTAAGAGCATGGATTCCTCATTTGTAATAAAACCCTCTGAATACATGTTTTCATCTCTCTTACCCCACCTGGATATGCATGTTTCATATTGATACAGGAAATTGAAGCTGCAGAGAGGCTGAGAGTCACCAAGACAAGTCTGGAAGTTACCATCGACAAGCTCGAGGCAGAGCTGGAAGAAACCAAGATCAGGTTGAGGGCAGCTCTATCCAGGCCCATCACAGAGGGAGCAGACAGTAAGGCCTGGAAGGCATCTGTGGTAACTAGGTCAGCAAACTGTTTTTATCCAATCCATTTGAGTCTTATTTTAGTGGGAACAAATATAAAAGCTGTCAAAGCTTTAATAAACTGGGTGTATCACTATCAAATTGCATCAGTTGTCAGTAGGAAGAAGCATTATTTGGGATAGGCATTAACAAAGATCTGAGTCTTGGGATGGCTCAAGATGGCTTGGGAGTTCAAGCTTGATCTTGTGTCCTCCGCTTGTAGAAGCTCCAGGCTACGAGTACAGTTTACAGAGTGTGAGCGAGTGGTTGTTTCACTTACATCCACAGAATGTTTGAGAACAAGATGAAGGAGCTGGAGAAGGAACTCTCCCAGAAGACCTCCAGTCTGTCTGAACTCAAACAACAACTGAAGGAGGTGAATGAGCGAGAGGAGAGAGCTCAGATAAGCATCCGGCAACTTGAAGATCAGGTACACGCTTAAGGACTATTTCGTTTAATTACTGAAGTCAGGTACAGGCTAATTCGTTTGCTGAGGGACTGGATAACATTTTTCGATTTGTGACTTGGCCTCAAGCTTGTGTTAAATATGGAAGCAACTACTAAATCACATTTGTAAAGTAATACTTTTATTTAGTTGGTGTAATTATAGTACTATTCTTATTACATTCTGCTATGAATCGTTTTTTTCCAAAAGGGTCAGGGCTTGAACTGTACGATATCAATATGTTGCTCGGTGGGTTCAGGTTTTCCAAACTTGTCATTTCAAGAGGGGGTATTATGGAAATGGTCTAGTGTTGAGGTAGACTTTGCAGTTACAGTAGTTATTTAAGTGCTTCAGCAATTTCTTACTGCACTTTTATAAAGTTGAGGGCCTTTGAGAGACAGATTAAAATATAATGGTCAAATCTGATGCAGCAGATGTCCTTATTATTACTGTGCGAATTAGAAATCTCAAAGTCCAAGCTGAGAGATGACACTGTGAAGGGTAGTTTTCTCAGACTGCTGCTCCCCAGAAGTTTCCACAGGCTGAGTAGTCAGACATGTAAAATCGGAGTTCTCCTTCAAAAGATAACAGCCTACTTAAGCCTAAGTCTGCCATTTCTGTTGCAAGCTGTCAATATTTTGAGCTAATGTTATTATGGTTTTGTCACGTTTTAGGTTGAAATGTTGAAAAGATATCCTACTGCTGCAAAGACAGAAGGAGGACTCACCAGGGAGTTCCAGGGAATGAGGTTCGTCAAACAATGTGCACTTTCATTAATGAGTAATGGTGATAAACATATATATCACAATATGGCAAATAAATGCACAATCACATACAGGATAATCAAATTGATGTTAAATGCCGTGGGTTTTTTTTTTTTTTTTTTTTTTACATAAAATACACTTATGTATTAGATCAAGAAAATCATTGTACAACCCCAATTCCAATGAAGTTGGGACGTTGTGTAAAATGTAAATACAAACAGAATACAATTATTTGCAAATCCTTTTCAACTTATGTTCAATTGAATACACCACAAAGACAAGATATTTAATGTTCAAACTGATAAACCTTTTTGTTTTTTGCAACAATTCACTCACTTTGAATTTGATGCCAGCAACACGTTCCAAAAAAGCTGGTACAGGGGCATGTTTACCTCTGTGTTACATCACCTTTCCTTTTAAGCGTTTGGGAACTGAGGACACTAATTGTTGAAGCTTTGTAGGTGGAATTCTTTCCCATTCTTGCTTGATGTATAACTTCAGTTGCCCAACAGTCCGGGGTCTCCGTTGTCGTATTTTGCGCTTCATAATGCGCCACACATTTTCAATGGGGGGGCCAGTCTAGTACTCGCACTCTTTTACCACGAAGCCACACTGTTGCAACATGTGTATAATGTGGCTTGGCATTGTCTTGCAAAAAACAATAAAGTTTATGAGTTTGAACATTAAAGATCTTTGTAGTGTATTACATTGAATATAGGTTGAAAGGGATTTGCAAATTAATGTATTCTGGTTTTATTTACGTTTTACACAACGTCCCAACTTTATTGGAATTGGGGTTGTAAATGTGTAAACAACTTAAATGGCTAATTTTGTCTGCTGTAATTTGCAGTTTTCTTGGAATCACTAATTCAGATGATAAATAATGATGATTTATCATTTAGATGGTGGATAGCAATAATTTCCCATCCTGATCTTGTATGCTTTGTCTGGATTATATCTGAAATGTTGTTTTTGACAAATGGACATGTTGTTTATCTCGTTTAAAGATTGGTTAACACTGAGCTGGAGAAGGAGAACACAGCACTGAAACAAAGTTTGAAGGAGTACAGTGAGCGATATGGAGAGACATCTTCTAAACTAGGTGAGACTTCCAAACACACACTTTAATAAATCAGATCAAAATCTGATTTATTTGGGTTTTCTAGTAATGCTGCTGTCATTTTTCTCAACATCAATAGTTTTTATTTTTATAAATCATATTTTAGTTTGAGAATGTCTAGCGTTTGTTCTCAAGTAAAAATAGAAATGCTTGCCAAGTACAGTCAGTTCAGCGTTGCTGTTAAGAGAAATAGAGCACATACATCTGATTGTAATCTGACACTTAGAGCCATGATTTTATATTTAACATCATAATGAGCTTTGTCTGTAATTGGGTCTCCATTTAATGTCTTTACACATTATGACGTCGTTTTAACTTAGCTAGACAAAACATCCTAACATATACATGATGTTAATTGTTATGAATAACAACAGTCATTTCCGTTGTGTCTCTTGTTGTATTCTTAGATCAAGGGAAGCTCAGACACCGTCTACAGGCAGCTGAAACAGAGAATACTAAACTTCAAGCTGAGCTTAAAAAGCTCAAGAAAGAACTGGAGAGCTTTGACCCGACCTTTTTTGAAGAGATTGAAGACTTAAAATATAACTATAATTTAGAGGTCAAGAAGAACATTCTGCTGGAGGAACAGCTGAAGAAGGTGTGTGATCAGTTTGGTGTAAAGGCTGAAAAGCCGATCAGCTAACTCAGGGTTACTTTTAATTCCGACTTAACCTACACCTGAATGTACTTCAGTGGTTGTTGGTCTTTAAACGTGGATATACTCAAACTTTTAAGGTGATTTTCAATTTAGATCTCTAGGGCTGGATCAGTCGGGCACCAAACGTTGACCAAAGAATGTCTAATCAGCAGAGACACAGACGTGGAATTTCAGGGCCAATAATTATAACCAATAAGTATCTGTTGGTGTGGACAATAGCTATATGGTAACAGATAATATTCATCCTACAAATGCAAACATGTAAAGAGGACAATAAATATGTATTTTTAGATTGAAAGGTTTATTTTTTCTAATACATAAATATTTACAGAGCCTTTACCTTCACCTTTAGACAATTTACCCGTTAAGAACTTTAGCTTCATGTGTTACATCAGAAATAGGTTTAAACTAAACATGTTTGTCGGTATTTTTCTAAATACATTTTGGTAATTGTACTAAAACTCTGGTATCGTATCAGCACTAGTATGTAATGTTTCCAAACGATGTCCAGCCCTAAATATCTCTGGATCACAAACAATTTCTACTTCTACTAAGTACTAAGATATTCAATATTGATATAGCAGCACTGACCACTCAAGAGTTTTTAGGTAATGCAGTTTGAAATCTTGCACTCACATTCCCTAAGCAATGTCACTGGAAATGGTAGGATAAAATATCCCCTTTTCAGAACAGCCTAAAAGTAAAGTTTACCTTTTAACAGTAAAGTGATGTAGCTCCTCCATTTTTTTCCCCACATGGCAGCTGGTTTTTTTTGGGTTGTTTATAGGTTGGACGCATATTTATTTCTTTATATTTGTACAGTTTTGACACATTGTGCTGAGGTAATTTTTTCAATAAAACAGCTTTTGTACTAATCAGACTGTTTTATAAAAAACTGTTCAATAAAAAAGGTGTACATACTCACATACATTTATTCTTCACTTAGCAATAGAAGAGCTGTAACATACAGTATATTAATGGAACATTTTTACAACACAAGTTGTCGGTCACTCATATCTACACTAAAGCTGTACACATTTCTGCAAGGCAAATGTAAAACTGTCTTCAGGTTTTAGGACACTCCCCTGTACTCAACTGGAATTACTGGTGAAAATATCTAACAGCTATCGCCACAGTGGGAAGGTTTGATATTCTCCGACTGGGTCTACAACTCAAACTGGATGTCCTGAAGTCGGCTGAAACAGCGTCCATTTAGTCTGGAGAAGGATGTGAACAAGTCCTTGCTGTTGTATTCATCAACCATCCCATCAACATGAATGACCACCGACCTGTCACCAAGGCAGGTTTCCTCATCTGGCCACCTCAGTCCCAGGTGATGACGATGAACCTGCCGACACAACAGCCACTCAACAGCTCATGGCCTTCATTGGTATTACAGCTAATTAAAAACAGTTCAATATATTTTTAAAATCAAAATAATCAACTTTTTCTGAATTTTGGAATAAATATAAAACATCCTCACTAATTCTATTTTTATTTAATCAGTTGTAAATTTCTCTCCCAAATAAAGGGAAAAGGACATACTATGAATATGGTCAGTTTGGGAAGATCTTCAAAAAGAAACTGAAGTCACCTGATCAGCACTGCGGACACAGTTACGTTTTCCTACCTTAATGAGCGTGCCGTCGTTGCAGTGCCAGACGATGCCCTCAACTCGACCCTCTGGACTCTCCTGGAACCAGGAGCACAGCTGCTGGAAGTCCACTGGTGGAGGGTTTCTGATTTGAACACTCCCGTGTGACACCAGGCAGTGGACAGGCTGCTTCTTACTCCCCAATCCTGTTAGGACATTAAAACTGTGTTACAAATAAACTATATTTTATGTTTTCTCTAAAATGTCCTGATAAGGTTAAAATGTCTCCATTAAACCTTAAGGCAGGTAAACTCCAGATTGACTCAAAAGGTACCCTGTAGAGTTTTTGACCACTAGTACAGCTGCACCAGGAAGCACATACACACAAGTAGGCGTAGCAATACATGTTTCTTTACGATTCTTCCACACTATTCTGTTATTCTGTAACTTAGAAACAGAAATGTAGCAATGTGCCAACAAACTCTGTGAAATCAGTCTCAAATATTCTTCACAAATCTGTCACAATCTGTGTTAGTGAGCATTTCTCCTTTGCCTAGATCCATCCACCTCACAGGTGTGGCATATCAAGATGCTGATCAGACAGCATGGGTATTGCACAGGTGTGCCTTAGGCCGACCACAATAAAAGGCCACTTGAAAATGTTTCGAGCACAACCTACCCAAGGCACCGCAATAATAACAATGTGGTTTTAAAATGGACAAACACAAAAAACTACCGTCCCTACACAAAGGAAAATGCAGTAACACATTACCATAAGGGTTTCCGTTGACGTTTGTTCCAATGAGCTCCAACGTTTGCTCCAGGAGGGCGGTCAATGGGACTGCTGCAATTTCTAGCATGCCTTCGTCGTCAGCGCTAGGCCTGAGAACAAGAGCTCCCCCGACTTCATAATCCACCACAGAAGAGTGCCAGCAGTACTGTTTGTTGTCCTTCTCCACAGGAACCCAGCCTGAATATTCACAAGAACCAAATCACTGTTTTGCAGGCAGCATCATCCACAATACAGAAATATTCCTGGTTGCTGTCCTTAATGGAATCTAGAAATTATTTAATTAATTATTTTGCCAATGATAATTTTATACTAAACTCAATATAGGTTTATGTTGTGATTTGTTGTAATTTTACTGTTCATACATTTCATTTTCTGTATCCCCTTATACTGTTCTGGGCTGCAGGATGAGGTGAATGTGTTTTATGACCAATTACATCCTGTATTCTTACAACATAACAGTCACTTTAGAATAATCCATAGTTTAACTTATGGGGCCTGCAATAGAAAATTTGCAGCACAGTTTTGTGAAATTATTTAAAATAGTATCTTTATTTTACTTGAGGAGTAATGGTTAAACTTCAGCACCTGGAATGTGTCCGTGCTCATCAGGCACTGGATGGCCATTGTGGTGTTTGACTCTGTGGGCTGGGATCCACGTCTCTGGCACCCTCTTAAAATCTTCCTCTACATTCCATGTGAATCCTGAAATAGAGGAATAAAACTAGCCCAGCCTTCCTGGAGAAATAAAGCAAGTGTTCCACACGTAATGCACAAAAGCACAGGAGAAGAAAAGTGGCACAACCCTATTAAAGATTTAAACTTTTATGACACATTTTACCCACATTCTTCATTACATGTACTGAACTAAAGCTTAAATACCTTTACAGCTCTTTTGAGAATGCTGATACTTTTTGAACCTCTTCTCTGCCTGTTTATTGGGTTTCCTGTCGAGCCTAGCCCAGAGGTAAGGCTGCCCTACAGAATAAAGATAAATCATCATACAGTTTAATCAACCCCACTGCAAGAAAGTGAACAAGATAAACAACGAAGGTGACTTGTAGGAGAAAGATTATTATTAGATTTTAAAAAGTGCTAGTAATTCAATTTACAACATACAATATGAAGCAGAAAAAGCAACAAATCTGACATTATTAACTTTTATTACTAACTTTCTGTATTTTTACATGGTAAAACGTTCAGCAGGCTGCACCTCCAGCTCCTTGCTCACGCAGGCTTGTATTGTAGTTGTAATTCTGAGAAATACTCACCTTCATAAACTGTAACATAACAGCAAGTGCCATCTAGTTTTTCTGTGGTGAGTGCACAATCAATGTTCGCCTCCAGAGCAACAGGGTTCACGTTTTCAGTGGCAACAACGTGAAATTGCTGAAGAGAGACACAGATGTTTTAACTACTTAAGTTCAAAGAAAACAACTGAAAAGCAACATTAGAATTGTTATTCCTATAGCTAGCCTACCCATTCATCTTAACATTAGTGTCATATGGGTAAAAATAATTTAAAAGGGCACAATTATGCAGATAATTTACAAATAAATCATTGAGATATTATACATCATCTGATTTTAATGTCCTTATCAATAACATTCAGTAAAATAGCTTTAATGGCCAGATTACTTATATATCAAGCAGGAGAGAAGATATTTTATTTTTCTGACAGTAAATAATGGCATTATTACATGAGACAGGTCCAGTACTGTACATTTTAGTAGCTAAAAAGTTGTGTATTCACTTATTCTTTTCTTTGAATAGTCAATCAAAACAATCCTGAACAAATATGATATTCTAAACGTCAATTATGAAGCAAAATGACAAATATAAGCCGCTTCCAGCTTCTCAAATGTGTGGATTTATAATTATATTATTCTTTTATGATTATAAATGTAGTACCATCTACACTACCGTTCAAATAGCAACAGAGGAGGGCGGATTCATGGCAAATACATGCTTCACTGATGACCAGAGAAAAATGCTTCAACCATCAGCAAGTGCGTCCAAACATTAGCGCCACGTCTACTAGGATAAAAAAAATTAAAAAAAAGACGTGTTGGTTCTTTGGTCAACCTACTCGCTGTTTATCCATGCTGGCAGCAGCAGCAGCCCTTCGTACTGTTTATAAATCCATAGCTGCTGTGTTTGCAGCTGCGCTCACCTGACGGTCTCGTTTTCTGGACTGTTCTTCCTTCACCTCCGTCAGAAAAACACACGGTATCTTCTGCTGAACTGACCCCAAACGTCGCATGGTTGTGTATTTTATGTAACAGCCACTCGAAGCCCGCTGGTCACGTTTGTCTTTATCACTGAGCAGAGCTAATGGATGTCATGTCGGCGTTTTAGGAGCTAGCGGGATGCAGACGAGCGGGATGTGAGTGGTTGTCACGTGAGGAGCTGCTACTTCTTCTTTTTACGGTTGTCAAACAATGAAATGGCTCATTAGCGACACTATGCTGTGTGGATGGGGTTCGAGTAAACCGCAGGAAAACAGGCATTTAATGACACATAATGTTTAATCTCTTGTTAAAATTGAAATTAATACAATATTATGGTAGATTATTGACTTGATTCTATTTGTAGAATGATTTATTTTGGACAATTGCAGCATGCTTAAATGTTCACAATGTTGCTCTCTCTCTCTCTCTAGGCTCATTCGCACACACAAACATACAAAATTAATAATTGCTTCTTTCCACTCTACCGAGACAGTAAGCTTGTGTATTTGCACATGTACAAACTCAAGAACAATAAACCAATCAAGGCAGTTATAAAGTAAACTGACCTCTAGTCTGAAATAGGCATTTATCTAAAACATTTACTGACATTTATCAGGCAACACTGTTGCAGCAATTAATTCAATCCACTTCACAAAAAGGTTCACAGAAATATCATAAAGCTACTCTGAAGAGTTTGTTTTGATGTCTGGATTCACACACAGTATGATATTACTGGAGTATTTTATGTCTAATTCTTCTTCATCTTCATCTTCTTCATCGAGATTGTACATGTCCATCTCACTGTCGGTGTGCTTCCACATCTCTGTCTCTGTGTTGTCCTTCATCCGCCTGTGAGACCAAAGGGTGGAAATATTCCTTTTCCAAAAATGAGAAGAAAGAAACTAATTAGAAACACAGATTACTAAAAGCATATTAACGTCAGTACAAACATATGATCTAAGGTCATTTCCCTCTCTGGTATCAGTTCATTCCATTACACATGGAAAGAAATGAAGCTGATTAAAAGTTAGTGGGGGGGGGGGGGGCAGACAATGCTTTAAGAAATGCAGGACATCTGACAACGTGACTCACAGTTTGTAATACCACACAACACCTGCTGCTGTCAGGAGGAGAAGGATGATGCCAAGAATGATGAGTGTTGTAGGTACATCTGGGAAGTAAACAGAGATTTTATGATTGAATACCACAAACTCTATTTAATTCTGTCACAACCTGTTACCGTGATGATTGGTAGTTGGCCATAGTATTTCTATTACCCACAATCTATCTTGATCCACCTATCATAAAACCTTGTTAAGACACTTGGTATTTGTTGTTTTGTTTTGTGTTTTACATTAATTGTTAATGGTCTAATTCTGAGATAAGTATTTTAATGATTCTAAAAGTTTGCACTTGTTGTGGTGTTTTTCTTCCCCCTAGTAACCAAAATCTGATTATTGAAACTTTATTTTAATTCTGATAAAAATACAAACTTTATTCTGGCAATAAAATGTTTATTCACGAGTTGTAAACTGAACCCTGGTTTCTGGAATTTAAGGGAAAATGATCAATCCATTCATCCCCAACACTTTCAAATCCACTGCAGTGTTTTAGTATCAAACTATTTACTGTGTAGTTGCAGGAGTTCCAACTTCTATTTCACAAATTTTGTACAATATCACAGGTTACAGTGTTATAATCAATTCTGATTTTGATACACATAAAAACTCCCTTATGTGTGACTCATATTGACCTCTACTGGTCACTAGTAAGATCTGCAACATAATTTACAGGTGTCCATCCCTCCCTTCTCAACCCCTTGAATTCCACTGCCATACAAAATCAGATTTTCACAACAAAAAGGGGTTAGACAATTTTACCTCTTCTTAGAAATAGCGAATGTCACAGAACCACCAAAAAATGTATGTGAATCAACAAATGAAAGAAGACGTACCTCCTGGAGAAGGTTTTGCGGGGCTCACCAGGTGTGGCGTCACTGACTCTGAGGAAACAGAGAAGTCAGAGGGATGCGCAGAAGTAGAACTGGCAAAGCTCCCCACAGTGGGTTTTGAGGTGATATGGTGAGAAAGATAAGTAGGAATATGGGTGGAGAAAGGTTTAAGAGTGGAGGAGGTGGAGGAAACCCTGGTGGAATGTGTTGTCTTGACCAGAAGAGTAAAAGCTGAAGTAAAAGATGTCCGCTCAGGGGCTTTTGTTGTTATTGGCTTCCTTGAAGGTGGAGAACTGGTTGTTTTTGGCTTCCTTGAAGGTGGAGAACTGGTTGTTGATCTGAGCACAGGTGAGGAAGGTGTTGGGGTCTGCGTCAGTGCTGTCAGTGTGGTGGGGAACTTGGAGCTTTGTGGACCTGCTGTTGATTTGTTTAGACTTTCTTCAAAATCTGCAAGTGGTGAGGCGAAAAAAAGTTTACATTTAAGCCAGCTGATGCTCAGAATACACTTCTGTTGATTATCAACATTACTAGTTAAGGTGAATGCTAATTCAGGTTTAGTAAATGAGAAATTAATAATGCAGATTTTTATATTTAAAAATGTTTTAGCAGTTCACATTGCACATTGTTGAGTGTATGTGGGAGTGCAGAAATTTAACAGTACCTGATGCATTGAAGCAGAATACACCAAACTTTTTATCTGCACTTGCATACCATTTCACCACCCCAGTTTTACCCTGTCCACAGGTACTGGCAGATGTAAGTCGTGGGACAACTGCGATCTGTTCAGCTGTCCAGCCATATCTGTTAAAATAGTAAATGAAGTGCAGATAATTAAAATATGAAGCTTGGTTTGAGAAAATTAGCATCTGTGTGAACTATTATTTTACAGGTCTTGGTGTGAAAAACATTACATACAATCTGATAAAATCGCCTCAAGTGACATCACTTGATTGGTTGGCGCTGAAGACTACAAGACCAAGTAACCAGACCTCTGCAGGCTAGGCTTGCAGCTTGAGGCTACATTAGCCTCTGCTATTATTGATGATATTTCTGGTTCTGCTGCGTTGCTTTTGATACTTTATTTTAAAAAAACTGTCAATCATGAGCCTGATAATGTTATAGCAGGGCAATAATAAATTGGCTGAGCACTCTTTCAAGAGAATTGTCAATTCTTCTCTGTGAATCTGCAACCCTTCTGTGTTTAGGAGTGGGAGAGAACAGCATGTTCAGACTGAAATATGTACGTAATTGAGTGACAAATATTCACTGTATGTACAGACAGCATTTATTTCTATGAGCTGCACTTGCAGTTCAGAAAACTAGGCTTGGTTAGCCGGGCCTGATTCAGTTAAATAACTACGCAGGTTACTTATCAAGCTTTAGGTGTATGATCATAATGTTGACAACAAATCCCTGGTGTTTTTAATTCTGGAATTTCCCATTTAATTTAAAATCCTACTTTTTATACATATTTTCTGTTTTGTTTCTTGTTTCTAATTCAATATCAGCGGGTACTGGTGGCCCTGACTGGTGGCACTTGGTTCAATAATATTTAACATGTATAATTGATTGATATTAAAGTGTGGAATTTTGTAACCATAAATCTTCAACACTGCATATTAGTCAATACTTCAACAGTCAGCCTACTTGCACATCTCCAATCCACGCTGTACTGCTCGCTCCATCTGGGCTATGGTCGCCATGGTGATGTTCAGTGAAAGGCAGGCAGCTCTGCCCTCAGTGAAGTTAAAGGTGTAATCTCCTCCTTCAGTAAGTATGAAGACTCCAGCAGCTCTGCTACTTTGAGGGACTGCTGTCATTTTGTAAAAATACACACATTTAAAAAGCATTCAGAAACATCAGCATGTCTGTAAGCTTATCACGCATTCTGGACTAAGTATGAAAGGTTTCTTTATGTGTAAATTTAAGTATCATGATTATTTTCAAAGCACCATATTTGTGTTAATTGTGTCATTTCATAGTTAGATCACTTCAACCTAAAGTGATACTGTACTATAAAGTAAACAGTCCTTTTCCACATTTAACTCATGATACTGTTTGATGATCTTACATTGTTTGATTCATTCTTGATACTTTTATCTGACTGTGGTCACACAATTAACTTGAAACACATGACAAGCAACCAAGAAGAGTTTCACCTTAAAAGGTCATGCATGAAAGAAAAGAAAAACAAAACAAATTTAATGTTATACATTCATGCATTCAAAATGCATGAAAATAAACAATCACCATAAAACACATAAATGTTCCAGTATTTGGTCTAATTGTGGTGCTCCACCTATATCAGAAACAAACAGCTTACCTTCATTTTGATTGGAGTTGGAGGCCAACAAAATGCTGCAAAAAATAAAAGTAAGTTTTGAGTAAAAAAACAAAATCTTGCCATGTTTTTTATAAAACATATATAACTGGAGTGGTTGAAGGTGAAAAACCAAATAAAGTGAATGCAAGGGGAAAAGCCTCAGAACAAATGTCATGTGAATGGGACGAGGAAACAGGAAGCAGAGGTCAAGTCTGCGTGATGACCCTTTATGTGATAACAAACAGGACTTGACAATTAAACTAACTCCGTGTTTTGATTTGTTGTTTTGTTTATCAAATTAAAGATATATGACAAACATAGCATGTTCAATGCTAAACTTGTTAAAAACTTGTTAAAAAGGATTTCCAGGAAACATTAAAGCAGGATGACAGAAAGCATGAGGTTTAACTGGTGTTCTGGCAGAAATAAATAATAAGAGATAATCCTCTTGGCGTGATTAAAGGGCAGATCAGTCATGTGGGCTCGTTGCTTCATGCTCCTTTATCAAAATGGTGCCTTCTCAGTTAAATACGGATGAAGCAATATTCTAGAAAATGTGTTAAAGGTTTTCAGTGGTTTGGAGTTTTTCTGCTTTGCCAGCATGTATCTTCCAGAGATATGTTTGTTCTGACAGGCTGGTCGGAAAGGGAACTTCCTCCACATTGTGCTTTTTTTTTACCTTTACTCTTCTTCTATATCATTGCCAGCTCTCATGTTCTCTGATTAATTGTGGTATTCTTCTATAATGTTTCTGCTGCACCACATTGCCCTCTGGCCTTCAGCAAGGGATGTCCAACAATAGTGTTACAGGAACAATTTTGTCTTGTTAACCAGCTGTGCCACTTAAGGCCTATGTATCTATTTATTTTTAACTGGGTTTATCCTAAAATACATTTAGTTATTTCTTCGTGTGTTCCGTTAGCAAAAACCTGAGAATGTAAATTACAGTAAAGAGTGCAAACAATATGTCATGCTTAGCTAAAGTTACAAATGTGTGTTCCCTGTATCACTGACCAGGCAGGACGAGCAAGCTTAGATAATCGACATTTTGGAAAATATGCTTAATCACTTTCTTGCCCAAAGATAGATAAGATCAATACAACTGGCAAATCTGGTGGTTAAATATGAAGCCACTGCCAGCAAAAAGTTAGCTTAGCTTAGCTTAGCGTAAAGACTGGAAACAGATAGCCTAGCTCTCTCCAAAGGAAACTATAGATCCACTTACCAGCACCTCTAAAACTCATAAATTCACATGTCACATCTCATTTGTTTAATCTATAGGGTTGAGGCACTGTATAAAAGGGCTCTATAAATACTTTACAATTAAATTATTCACATGTTGATGGACTGTGGCGTATAATAAGCAATGTTAACAGCTGCACCGATGGCAACGTTTTGATGCTTCATGCAGAACATCATTACTCCCAGATCAAACATCACCATTCTCAGCTCAGTTAATGCTTATATTTTCATTATATTCCAGGAATTCAAACCAGACACGTGCTGACAGCGAGGATGTTTTCATGCAGAAGGTGAGACAGTTCAACTTGTCCTACTTTCATGACTCAGTGAATATGGTGTCAATAATGGAGCTTACTGTCTGTTTCAGGCTGCAGCACGGATGACTCGGACTGGGCTGTATGGGATACAACGGCGTAACACAGATAGGAGCAGGAGGAGAAGCTAATTGGTCACACTTCCCTGGTCAGGAAGAGTGTAGAGAAAAGCATAATTCAGTGATAAAAGTGTGACAATTTCCTTCACGCAGTATCATTACAGAAAGTCGTCCTCAGGGACAAGAGGAGTTTGTAATTGAAACAGTTTTTCTGAGGTCACTGATCCAAAGCCAACACAGATATTTCCTTTCAGACTGGTTTGTCAAATAATATACTTACTCCTAATAAGTAATATTTTATACCATTTATACTCCTACATGTCTTTTTTTACTCTTAGTCATAACAATGTTTTGAAGAAATATTAATGAAGTTTATTCTTACTGTTGATCTAATTCCATCACTAACCGTTATCTACCCATGGAGAAATGGTGTCTAGGAATGCCTAAAAGCTACTCAATCCATCAGTCTTGGTCTTGCAAGAAACCAGTGCAGGAAATGGTCCTCTATGTCAAAGTGAAACAACTAAATAATTACATCTTTGGCTTTCTTCAAATAACGAAGCGGTAATTGTCAATTTCCCTTACACATTGCCAAAAGAAGTGCCAGTGAGAACACTTTTCTCATTAAAACACAACAGACCTCCTGCTTTTCTTTGCATTTTCTGGAGTCTCAGTACCCACTAGCCCTGCCTCGGCCCTCTTGGTCCCCTCTGCTCCGTCTACCCGAGAAGGCCTGAAGATCTGCTATGAGGTCTGAACCCTTTTTGGGTTCATGTGCTCATCAGCGTTGAGTGGTAGTATGACTAAAAGTGTGAGGATTTGAATTGTATTTCACACTTTAAAAGATAAAAGATGCCCTTATACCAAAAACACAAAGACTGTATGCCTCTGCCCCATGCAGGTTTGCCCTATTATGTTACCTTGTGAATAATGAATGATGCTCGGTTGGTGATAGTATCCACCCAAGGAACTCAACATGAAACTGAGAACTTCATTTACACCACATGCTTCCATTGTGAACACAAACTGGGAGCCCTGTCTGCTCTCAGAGCCTCATTACAATTGTGGTGAAATAATATTTTAACAAAACTGCACTGATCTGGCTTTGAAAATGTCCCTCAGAGCCAAATCCCACACAGACCTGCAGACGGCTAGGACGTCCCTGTTAGACGACAGCCTGTACAAGTCTTTCTCCATGAGCAGCAGTAACGTTAACAGAGGCAGCCGGTTCGGGAACGGGACAGTGGAAGAGGTCAAAGGTCTCACCAGACCGTCCGTGAGACCTGTACGGGTGGTCAGGCCAGTCAGCGCCATCAGCTCCAATGGCTCCTTCCTCCAGATCAACCATCTGCAAGGAGAGCTAGTCAGAAAGAGGAAGGTAAGTGTTGGATCAAGCATCCTCAGAATTCTGTTTAACTAATGATCTTTAGGAAAAATATTGATTCCCAATTATTACAATATATTACAATACTCTATCCCTTAGCAATACTAGGTGAATACCAAATATTCAATTCCACAGGCCCAGTAGAAGTTCAGTATTGAATGTTATGATCCCATAGACAAAAAAGAAGGAACTAAAGTCATACTGTTAAGTCTGACAATTAAAAGGGAAACATTATACAGTACAAAAGCCTAACTCTATCTGTTTTGAATGAAAAACTTAAATAAAGGAAATATGTGAGTGTTACGTCCTAAGGTCACACAAACAGATGTTGATTATGTATTCCGCTATTTGTCCGCACTGTAACACACTGCAGATGGGATATACAGGAGCCACAAGGAGGGCTGAAATGGCAGACATAAACGTGCATTAAAAATGTTTTAATTATATACACAAGCCTATGATTATTGGAAAAAAAGTGTGTTATTATATATAAAATATTGTACTATAGATTATATTATTTCTATATATAAATATATTATTATAGCAAACGAATAGTGGCTAGAGAATTGTGGTTTTGTGTTCATCAAACTTGAATGAACTATGAAATCACCCTTCAGTCCTCCCTCCAAATCCACTCCCTGAAAACACATTTCAATCATATCACATCATCTTCATTATCAGCAGAAAGCATTTGTGCCAAAAGTCAATGGCGTTTACCTTTTGATAGAGGAGACGAATGTCTATAATGCGGAAATCAGTCTGTCAGGAGCACCCGGTTTTTTAAGGGACCGTGAAATGGCACTCTTATTGGTTTAATTAATGTTGCACCCAAAAGACACCTATGAATACTTAAGAGACTAAGTAAATGCAACCCCTTTGCACCTTGTGCTTTACTTTGCACCAAGATTATGTGCTGTTTAACCACCAAAAGAAGAGTTGGACACGCCCTGAATGCAATTGCCCCATGCTCTTTAGATTGTTTAAATAGGGTCCTAAATATTCACTAAAAGATAAAATTACCAAAAATAAATAAAAATTTATTATTTGCTGTGATAAGTGTGAAAAAATGTCCATTGAAGGTCAGGATTAGGAATTTCTAACTGGCACCAGTCAGTCTCCTTAAGTCAGTACTTTTCAGTGTCACAAACCAAAGCACTGTGCATCCAGAGAAGTCGTCCTTTATGTCTTTAGCCTCATTAACAAAAGGTCAACCTGAGTTTTTTGGTTAATTGTGTGTAATCAGTCATTTTATGAGCTCGTGTCCTTCCACACCACATGTCACTGATGATGTAAACGTTCCTCAGGAATGCGAGGATCTGAGAAAAGAAAACAAGTACTTATCAAATGAGATCCATATGGAGAGGATCACAATGCGCACAGAGAATGAGCTGACCATGAGGAACCTCAGGAATCTGAACCAGGAGCTGCAGGTTCAGGTCAAAGAGGTACACTCAAACACTGGACATAGTTTTAAACAGTGCATCACTCAAGAGATAAGAGAGAATAACGGCATGTCTCATGTGAGCACTGGTGAAAAGAGCGTACAGGTCTTCATAAAACACCCGCACATCATTTTAGGAAAGAATTAATTCGGGCAATCGTCCCCTTTAAAACACTGTCCTCCAATAAAAACACAGTTAGACTTGACTGGCGTCGTATTGCAGTACAACATAGTAGTTCTGTATTGATCATAAAGATGGAGGTAATTGTGTAATTAATGTAAACAAATGAAGCTATTCCCATGGCAGCTGTCTCCACTTATTTTGTGTCTGCCCTCACTAGACAAACAGCTATATGTTATAAATGTGTAGCTCAAGCTGAGATAACCTGATGAACCCAATATGACATCATCCAGGGTTATTTTCTTAGACTTGACAAAGCTTCTCCACAGCCACAGAAAGCATACAACTGTTTTCACAGGCTGAGCAGTGGGCTACGTGACTAGCAAACTGACTTTGTGTAAGAAGTGTGAAGAAGAAGGAGACAGCATTTGAGTTATATCAAGATATACATTTTTGCATTATTTAGTCTTATAGGATAGTGGTGATCTTTCATAAATGTATATAGGAGTTTCTTGTAGTACCATTAACCTATGTGTATCCATTCACGCCTCATAGCAGCTCACTGCTGACCCTCATTCTGAATCTGAGTGGTTGGAGTCGTATTGCATCTAGAAACAAAGGCAGGCCTCTACTGTTTCCTGAGCAAGTCACTACAGAACACACACCCACCTCTCTCTCTGACCCCCCATCAGCTCAAACAGAAGCTGTATCAGAGCCAGCAGAGAGCAACGTTGTGCTCACGAGCTGCAAGTGTGGCGGAGGAGTCCAGAGGAGATGCAGAGAAGAGCAGGGCACTAGCTGAAGCTCGGGCCCTTGGGTGTCAGAGGGACAAAGAGGTGGCAGAGGCAGACAGGAGCCGTCTGAGTGAAGAACTACAGCAGCTTAAAAAAGAAGTACAAACACACACACACACACACACAGTTTGACACAGATATTGTCAGCTCACCGATAAACAACTTGTTAGAGCTGCAGAGATAATTAAAGGCAACATAGCAACTATAGCACAACATGTAATGTATACGTTCATTGGTGACTCCATCGGGGTGGGGTGTTGCACTCAATGTAACTTCATCTCAAATTTAAGATGTTTTTTGTTGACCAGCAACTGACACAGTAGTTGTAGAACAGAGGCAATCTGGGATTAAGTGCCAATTTAGCTACTGCAAGGAAAGCATGTGTGAAAATACCTACAGCACTGAAAATTAAAGTTTAAAAATCAGTAGACTATATTATTAATAAAAATGTGATGCAAAGTATTTTTATGTCTTACTCTAAAAATGTATTAGAATGAATTCTGGTGAAATTATCAATTATACTATAAATGTGTTGAAACAAGCTACATTATATCTAACAGTGAATATGGGTAAGAAAGTTGGAAAGTACTGAGAGACATACTAACGCACAGTAGATTTTGGTCTTTACATGAGATTTGTAGACTAGAAGACAAATATGGAATAATGCCAGCCTTATCCTTCCAAAACAAATGAGTTGACAATACAATGTTCAAACAACAGAGACATAGAACACACACAGGGCATAATGGGTAATTATGCAGATTCCTAAAGCTAAAATGTCTTTTAAGGCAGGACTCAAAGGTTTCAGTTGTGGGGACCCTCATAATAATAAGATGGAGACTGTTAACAATGCCTTAAAAACATACAAAAGATAAATAAAAATCGATTCTACGCCACACTTCAAGCCAGTTAGGTGATGACAAGACAGGGGTGGTCTCTCTTTTTGGTGCCAGTGGAAATCCCATATCTTTCTCCAGATCATCGGGTAAGAGGAAGGGCTAAAAAGAGTACTGAAATAATTTATGGTACATCATCATTTCCATAATTATGTGTTGATGAACAGATCAATAAACTGCAGATGACATCTCTTTAACCAGAATGGATGTGGAATATTTTTAGCACAGTTTTCCGATAGAGTTCCCTCTTTCCGTTTCCAGCATCAATATCCCTGCCAGGGCATAAACAGGATATGATATTATCAGTGGACTGAATCGATTCAATTATGACCTGTGACATCCATTAGGCATCTGTCTTTTCTTCTGTAGCACACTGATATGCAGGTTTTACTAGCGCAAACAGAGAAGAGTTATTTTTGAAACGAAGCTGAAGCTGGATCGGGTGTCTGGAGAGAAACAGGCCCTGCTGCAAGAGAACAGGAGCGTGGAGGGAGACAGAGATGACCTCCGACAAAAGCTGAGACAGATAACAGAGGAAAATGTCCTAATTAAAGAGAGGTGGGTATATTTCATTGGCACCTTGAATGTGTACCAAGTCAATTTTGGGACATTAGAATTTTATATAAACATAGAACATTAATTTGTCCTGGAACAAGAGACGATATCTGATGCCCACTAACTTAGATGTTACAGATGAACCTTGTTTCTCTTAAAACTAAAGATGGTTAAAAGGCATTAAAAAGGTCAAGGTGAGAAGACACTAAAACATAAATTATTTCTTTGCAGAGTAAGACAAGACAAAAAAGATTTGATTGAACATCTACTTGATATGTTGTTCAAAATCAACTGTCAGTCAAACTGTTGGTCAAAAAGGTCTTTGAGGTATTTCAAAGCCTGGCCTAATGTCAAATATTAGATAACTAGATTATATTGCTTTATGTTGAATCTGCATTAACTTATTATTGGTCAGAAAAATATTTAATAGTACATGCTGACAGATTAACAGCCAAAGACATAAAATTGGCTTATCAAGTTGTTATGGCTAGGTTGCTATGACATGTGTGTTAGATGCGTAACAATGATATGAAATATGACTACACTTCAGAGAGTAAAGATGAGTTTTTATAAGGAAAACTAAAGAGGACCATGGATAAGCCCTGATGTACACCAAACTTCAGTTGGGCTTGCTATTCGCAACAGCAATGTATCTACCTGAGGAAAAAAGAGGCAAGGGCCACTTAGAAATATTCAGTGTTAAAGTGTCCAAATAAGAATGGAGTAAGTCAGTTATAATAATAAACAATAATAAAACTTAGTGTGTGTAGCACTTTTTTACAGGGTTGTTAAGTACTTTTGCATTAAAGCAACACCAGGATACATTAATCAGTGGCATCTGCTTGAATTCATTGAAAACCTGTAAATGCTGTGTGTATTTACTTTTCATAACCTGAGGTGATGGGTCAAGTTTTTTAAGACTAATCAGGCTTCAGTCAGAACAATGTGAACTGTTGAGGAATTGCTCATAGACTATAGGGCCAAAGGTGCTAAATACTTCTTTAAGAGGGGAAGTTGAAACAACGTCAAGGGCGCCAGAGGAGGGATATTTTAGATTCACAGTGTCACAACCTATACAGCAAGGCTGAATGTAAAACCTGATTGTAGCCCCTCATCAACAAAGATTACAGTGGGGATGTACTTCACCTATAGGAAGCAATAAATCAACACATAAAAGCAAACTATGTAACTGTATAACAAATCACCATAAAAAAGAAATCGCCTTAACCAGATGAGATTTTAGTCTAAGTGATTTCTTATGTTTGAAGTCTTTCAGACAATTTGGTTAAAATTCATCTTGGACCACCGTTGTGGACTGCATCATACATCAACTGTAAAAGCACATGAGCTCTATTTAACCTCTAATTTTTCAATAACCAGAAATGACTGATCATCTCTTGCTGGGTGTACAGCTGGGAGCATAATTTGTAACATTAGAAGAACATCAGATCAGACGAATAGTCTAATACATCTAATCTAAACAATGTTTGCCACAAACGCACGAGCATCAAAGCAGATAACGCTGCTAAAAATGGGCAAGAGGAAGATCATGAACATCAAAAGTTTCGATCTGCAGTAAGTTATATTTGGCTCTACTGGCATCTTCCTGCCAAAAGTCAATGTTGATTTATTGTTAAATATGTAAGTTACATAAATTAGGTAACATTTGAACTTTTTCTTTGCTTTCTGAAACCTAATAAAGTAGTTATGTTGCCTAAAAGTAACCAATGTGAACCTCGCTAGTGACAACATGTTCGAGTTGTTCAAGGTGTCACGTGAAATTTGTATCACATATATATTCTGTTCTGTGACATTCTGTTCTCACCTGCATGCAAAATTAGATTCATCTGATTTACATTATGCTCAATTTTGTTGCCACTTTGTAAACATAACTGAAAATCAGCTGTAATAAAAAAATATTTCTGCTTGAATGATGAAGGCATCCCTGAGATCATTCATCGTGTTTCTTTGCAACACGACCTTTAACAAAACAAATCTTTGAGCATAATCAAAGGCCGACCTGGGGTGTATGAGATCAGCTGAGATATAATGTTTGGGCAGACCTGGTTAGGAGGGGTAGCAAAATTCTTGCATTGTTACATACTAGGCACTGTATCTGGGAAAGCTGAAGACCACTGAGAGCTTGATTGGGGATGGGGGAGCTGAGAGGAAAGCCGTGGAGATGAGGGAAGTGAAGAAGAAAAATGAATAAGAATTCAAAGGAGGCGGCGGAAGATAAGAAAACAGTAGAGACAAAGATGGATGCCAGAGAGGAGAAGGGTTGTTTGATTCTAAGATGAGATTCACAAGACATATGATGGCTTTTAAAAGGCTGCACAAAGTTCTTCATCTTCCTTTGGACATGAGCATAGGTGGTCTCTGTGCAGTGTCAGTGAACTTGGGTGATTTTTCAAAGGACAACTGGGGGAAATTCTTAAATCCAGATGTGCTTAGTTAGCATGGATTTATCTAAACACTCTACATGACTGGGTAACACAGGTACACAAAAGAGGGTTAAATTTCCATCTTAATTATCTTATCGCTTTGTTTCGCTGCATAATAAGATGTCCAAGCCCATGTGGGGCTGGGAACCGCGATTACAAGGCAAAATGTCTCTGCAGTCCGACTGCAAAAAAAACAAAAGAAGATATTTTGGGATTTCATTTCAGTCTTGTGTTCACAGTGAGATGAATTTGAGGCGCAGGGCGATAGCATCGGAGGAGGAAAGCAAAAAGGCAAATCAGGCTCAGCGGGAGGCCGAGGCCGAGAGGCGTCTGGCTGAGAAGGAGAGGCAGGAGAGAACAGCCGAGTGTCTCAGCTGGAGGGAGAAGCACCAGGACTTATCCAACAAGTTCAGAGCTCAGGAGGACCTGAAGGCCCTGAGGCAGAACAAAGCAGTAAGAAAGCACTGTGATATGAATTGTAGTCAAGATTCTTGAAAATATTTCTGATGGGCTTCACTGTCATTACACAATGACACTGATACACAATGATACATCAGCAAATAGTTAAAAAAGTTAAATATCATATTATAACATCATATTGCAATGCATCATCTGGTTAATACATTTCAAAAATACATCTTCTGTGTTTTCCAACAGTGTCAAGCCAACATCAAGAGTTATTTCCTCTGCATGACAGAAAGCGACCAGAGGGTTAAAATTCTCAAAAACCAAGATGGCAACCCAAGAAACTTCACAGTGAGATGACTAATAACATATAATGCCGCAGAAAAAAAAATAGAACTGCATAGATTTTTATGTTAATTGATCAGTGAATATGTATGACAACTGTTCATTATTTCATTTGATTTCGTTCAGGAGGGAGACCCCGTGTTCATCTCCACTCCTGAGTCCAGTCCTGACGAGCCTGAACGGAGTTCATCCAGGTAACGCTTTAACCACCAGCAACTTTTACTAATCATGTTGTCAGGTGGAAACCTTGTATCTCCAAAATGACAACTTTTCATGAGCCTAGAAAAATGTCCTTGTTTTAGTTGGATGGCAATTCATGGAAGAGAATTTAAGCATTCAAATTATTCAGTACATGAAACCCCACAGAGTGGAAGAACTTACATTTTCTAATAAATCTTTTCTAAGGACCATGTTGAGGGTCTCTGCCCCACAAATGGGGAGGGATCTGGGTCCGAGTCACTTTGATGAGCTGCACGCCTTCGGAGGAGAGCGACCTGACTCTGCCCCTCTACGCAGAAGCAGAAAGGTGGTCGAATACTTCTGGATCCCTACAGACCAGGAATAGACAGCAATTAAAAGGTGAAACCTGCTTTGCTTGGTCATGACAGCAGGTGGAGGAGACTTTTCGCAGGTCTTGAGTATTAGTTATAGGAAACGATTTTGTTGGGCGAAAAGCTGAGATGACATAACAGACTCCCTCCAAACATGCCAGCTTGCAATCTGTCATCACATGTGAAAGTGTATAACTGAGTGTGAAGCATTTTGATGTAGGAATGTGTCAAGAAAATCAGTGTAAATAAAAGTGAGAAATAATTTTGGTGCTCATGTACTGGACTTTATTGATATTAAAGCAACAGAGGTGCACGATAATTTCGAATACCTTGCAATATGATCCAAATCTATTGCCTTGTACATAAACATGGCTTGTGAGCACAATTCATAGGTAAAAGTCGATGTTTCTTATTCATTTAATGTTACTTATTTTAGTGAGGCGAGGGGGGGAGGGGTTCAATCACAACCTATCTTCAGGGTTTGCTTATATTTTGTCAATTTAAGAAAAGCATTACAAATTCATTTGTATCATTTTCATTGTTGAGCAATCAAAATTAAACAGGCCACATTCACAGTGTCATTCCAAATTCTGGGCGAGCCGAAACCCCGAAACCCCACCTTTTAACGGGTACATTTCTCAAGAAGGATGCGGCGCGTCATGTTAATAAAAAGCCTTTTCTGTTCTTAAACATTAATACTTGTAAACCATGTGAAGCTTCATTGGAAGAGACTGCTTTGATAAATTTATTGTGCAATTAGGCTAAGATTAAATCCAATACTTGCATGTGCTTGGGATCTAGGTTCTTCTTAGTAGATTCCATTATCCCAGCACAAAAAAAATAACCAAAGCCCATCTAACTAAGAGGTAGAAACACAGGCAACTTTGAAACGTTACAGCGGCACACCAATGATTGCAACTTTTTAAAAATATTGTAACATTTGGAGGATTATGAGTATTGCAACCACTCATGTAATAAAAGTCAACAAAGAGGGAAATCTAACAAAAGAGGGTTAACAATCACAAAAAAAAAAAGATTGGCTTTTAGGTAGACTAAACCATTTAATGTTTTGCCAGCTTATGATTCAATCTGACTTCAGTGGACTCTCTTGCTCTCCACACTTTCTCAAAAAAAGACTGAATGTCACATATTGTCTTGTTCTTTCACTATATGGATCTATCTGCAGCCTGTTTGGTGATTTCTTTTAATCCCCTCTATTTTTAAGGATCACATGAGTGTGATGGAAGGAAATCCAGGCTGGACCACAAGGCAAAGGGTGATCACACCTGCTTTTGGATCACAAAGCAGGTCACCGACAAGAGATTTTGTTAATAGTCTCATGCTTTTTACTAGAGAAGACCACCACTAATTTAGTTATTTAGGTGGAACTCCTATACTTTCTTAAATAAAGCAGTTTCCTATTGGGGAAGGTTCAAATCAGTAAAAATTTAAATGAAAGACATGCTTACAGTGAAAAAAAAGTTACAAACTTAATACAGTAAGAGCAAAAAGAAAACACCACATGTTTGAGACACTCCAGAATTCATGTAGCTGATCAGGACACAGATCCAAAATCAAACATCCATTAGGCAACAGATCAAAATGATGCTTCTCAGCCTATCTCCACTGTACCAGTGGTAACACATGATTCCCTACAGGTACAAGCTTTCAGTTTACATTTGCAAGACAGAAGCAGCTGACTGCCACATGGTAGTGGTTAAATTAAGCATGGAGTTTTAATAAAGGAAAAGTGACTGTAATAAGATAAGGTCAATCTTCTACACCATGATGCTTCTGCTTGGTTTCTCAATCTGCGTCGTCCTCCGACTCCTCCTCCTCCGCTGTCTCCAGCCAGGTGAGCCACTGGTTGACCTGACAGAGCGAAAACAAAGTGAATCTTAAATTTGTACAAGATTTTTGTAATTTTTCCAGTCACACACACACACACTAATTAGCATGGCTTGAGAGCAATCCCAGCACTGCAAAAACCCATACTGTACCTGGAATAAAGCTTTTCCTTTTCCAGGGAATTCTTGGGTAATATCTTCTTTCCATGCGAGGAAGGCTTCTTCTTCAATGATCTCCATGTCGTAGAAGTTGACAAAGTAGCGCAGCAGCATGCCTTGGTGGACAGAAATTTTAAAAGAGCATTAATGAATATTTCCACTAAAAAACAAGCAAATTTGTTCTACTAGCAATGTACTTCCAAAATCACTTTTTTCGCCAGGTGCTGCTGTACAATTTTCAATGACAAAACCATTTACCATTACTATATAACAAGACACAACTTGGGCTACGTTCACACTGCAGGCCTTAATGCTCAATTCCCCAGATCCGATTTTTGTTTGACCGTTATTATATTATTACTTGTTATTATATTATGTGGCCCATATCAGACTCCAGTGTGAACGGTCTGCAGCCTGAAAGTGACCCACATGTGCAGAAGAATAACACGAGGTCACACGCAGCACGCTGTTGTATAGAAGTAAATAGAGCCACAGAGGTTAGCTCCTACTTACTTACCCCCCTAAATTTCATGGGAGACTCCCGTATTTCACCGTCATCTCACGGGTCACATTTCTCCCGAATTATGACAAGTGTTCAGTAGCATGAGAGCTCGCGGTCCGGTGGATTTCAGGTGTAAGAAAGGAAATTTGTGGGCAGATGATAGCGAGGTAAAGAAGAAAGAGAGCCGCCTGTTTAATACTAGCTTTTGTGGAGCTTTTTCCTTCACCGAGGCTCAGTCTTCGGCAGAAATGTGACAACAGCTGCTCTAGACTCGCGTCAAAGTCACATCAATTCCAACCTGAGTGCCCAGACTCAGGTCACATTTAAAAAGATCCGATCTGTATCGGATTTGGACCACATATGGAAGTGGCCGAATTCCGAAGTGGAAAAGATCAGATTCCATGTGACTTTGTCTGTTCACACTGTCATAAAAAGATCAGATCTGAGATGTGGGCAAAAAAAACAAAACAAACACGAAATTGGGTCACTTTGGCCTGCAGTCTGAACGTAGCCATACTACTTGACAAAAAATGACAAAATGATTAACTGGCAGGAAATGTTGCTGCTGTCACTGCTCTCTGGTGAACAAACAATGTAATGGAGATATTATTTCTAAACTTTCTCAAACTTATTTGGGTACTTTAGTACTGAAAAGTCTTTTGACTTTTTGGATGACACATACTTTCATATTTGCAATAAGTTAACATCTATATCAATGTAGCTCTAGTAGACTGTCAAACATGTGGGGGAACTGTACCTTTAGGGAACCCGCTGGCGTTACAGTGCACCTGCAGGGCGTAGAGGGCGCTGACCTGCAGCTCCGTATGGTCATGCAGGAACTTCTGCATGACGGGCTTGAAGGCCAGCAACAGATGTTTCTCCTGCTCCAGCTGCTCTTTGGAGGGGGCCGCCAGCTGCTCATCACCCTCCGTCATGCACAGCTCCTGGGAGATGTATTGGAGGAAACTGGGGAAAAAAATTTGGTTTTTAAAAAACAGTTTATTACAGTCAGATCATTTCCAATATGTGGTCCTCCATTTCTTTGAATTTATACACCTTAGCAGTAAATAAAACACCTCATGTTTGAGTACAAACGCCCACAACTGCCTAATCTTAGAGCTGCTATGTCAGAAAATTAGCAACTATTTTGATAATTGATTAATCTTAATTCATTTCCCAAGCAAAGACTATAAACATCTGGTGGTTTCAGTGACTCCAGTGTTTATTTCATTGCTTTTCTCCATGTAAAATCATTGTCAACTGATTACATTTAAGTTGATATTTAAAATAATGTATATTTTTCCACTCCTCACATTTTACATACCAAACAACAAATTGATAATAAAAAATATATGGTTATTAAAGCCCTAAGCAGTGGAAATGCAAACGATGGCAATCACACTAGAGGTGTCATGCACTGTTTAAGCTTCAGTGTTCTTTATTATAAAGTGCTGTATATTTACCTGGTCATGAGGATGTTGACAAAGCCTTTATCGGTGTGAAGCTTGGGAGAGATGTTGTCCTTAATCCACTTGTAGATGGACTGTGGAGAGGGGTCTGCCTTTATTTGCTTCAGCAGCTCCTTCTCCAGCTTCAGCAGAGGGAACAAGAAGCTCAGGCCCTTCCCCTCCAGGATCTCCAGCATGCGGTCCTTGTTTTGATCGATCTCTGCCGAGAAGAACAAATCACTTATCAGAGGGGGGTCGCAATGGACAAAGCCTGTTGCAGTAGGATGCATCAGGGGTAGAGGAGTGGGGATTTTTAAACGTTTGTCAAGATTTTATCAGTTGGATGATGGGAGTAGTTTATGCATGTAGCAACTTCAATGGCTATGTGAACAACAGGCACAGGAGAGAGGACCAAAGTACCTGGAAGCATCTTCTGCATGTTGACCTTGCTCTGCTGGAAGAGGTCAGTAAGCCACTCACGGTCCTTCAGCTTGGCCGTCTGTTGCAGGCAGAGCAGGAAGAGGGGAAAGTGGGTGCCGTTCTCCAGGGGGTGAGCCAGCTCTGCCACGCTCACCAGCTCTGCTATGATGGCCCGAGCCGCAAACTGGGCCAGGTAGGACTTCACCAGGGGCACGTCCAGCTCGATCTTAGGGCACTGGTCCAGGACATTGAGGAAAGCCTGCACACATGGAGGGAAATGCCAGAGCGTGAATGATGCCGCAGCCCTCTTCTTGGCTCATCAATTAAGTGGTCAGATGGTTTTGCTTCCTCCCCTTCTAAGCAAATCCCTAAAATTATTGCGGTGGATTTAATAGATGCAATCATTTCTAGTAGAGACCACAAACTGCTACTGTAACCAAGTATCTTTATGTCTTTGTAATTGATCAATTTCAATTTCTGAACGATGACTGTTTGTGTGTCCGTCTACTATGAAAGTGAGAAACAATGAATGTTGGATGTGTGTACCTGCATGAAGTTCTCTCCAGTAATGAGGCCCTCAGTGCGGAGTGTGTGGATCAGAGTGCTGGCGTGCTCCTTGTCCTCATCAGGACGGTCCAGGGAACACACGACGATCTTACTCAGCATCTCTGGCAGGAAGTGCTTGGGAGCCCTCATCTCTCGCACACCGCTCACAGCCTCAGTCAGGTTCTTACTGTTCAAGTATTCAGTCATAATCGCCTCCTGAAGTGAAGATTTAAGCGCATAGAAATGAACTGTGGTCAGTTTGATAAACAAATATGAAACACGCAAACTGATTCCTGCTGTCAGCGGCTGTGACTACTCAGATATGAAGGCTATAAGTGTTTTAGTTAGCAGAACATTAATCTGCAGGGAGATGCTTGCATTGGTCGTGAACCAATCGTAACCCACAAGTGCTATTTTTTAAAGATAAGCTGCCAACCGAGACACACAGCACCTTAGAAATGGGGAACAGTCTGGTGCTGTTAGGAATGCATTAATACAACCTATTGCCACAACCTGTTTCTAACTTATTCTCCTCCTTTCTGCATTCCTTGCTGGTTTTCTTGTGCCCAGTCAAATGTGTAGAGCAATATACCATTACTTATATCCTGCAGCAGTTCTAGACTGAACACTGTGGAAGATGCGCAATTTTTGTTCTGCCTACCGTCATTTTAAGCAGTTCTTCCCTAGCAGGAGGTGGTTTCTTGTTTGTCTTCTGAGGTTTCTCTTGGATGGGCGGAGGGTTGGTCTTCAGGCCAAGCTGTGGAGGCTGAGGGAAAGGGTCATGTCATTATTACACTGAAATAGTTCGACCAAGAAACCATAACATTGTATGATGATTGACTTTGGCAAGGCCCTCATCTTTACATTATCTTTAAAACATTTCTGTATTCTTAAATTGTGCTCTACTGCCCATCTATGATTATGTTAGTTAAACTAAGCTAGAGGCAAAATGTGATTAAGAGTGTGTCTCTCACCTGTCCCAGAGGTGGGGTTTGAGTGCGGGGGGGCTGGGCACTGGGAGGCATCATGGTGGGGATCTGTGGCTGGAGCTTGGGTACCTGGTTCTTGTTGAGGAGGAATGACTGAGCAGGTCTGAGGCTGATCTGTACGTCCATAAAGCGTCATGAACATGGAGAATACAATACATTAGTCATGGCAAGTCTTTAAAATATTAAAAACAAAATCTGAATTTGCCTAATCCATGCCCTCATCTCTCATAATCGCAGTCAGCGGACCAGCAACCAGTTTGAAGAAAAGAGGAGAAGAGTGGAGGAAGGACAGGAAAGATGGAGATTAAAGACAGAGTAAAAGGTAGAAGCAAGACTGGTAGCAGGTTGTATTCCTCAGAATAACGCGTCTTTTTATAATCACTGGGCATGTAGACTTCAACACTTGCAGGTAGGCCTTCACAATCCAGCCAACAATCCTAATCATCATCCTGTACCTTGTGCAGTTTCTTATCTGCAAAGGTTTTGCCTCGGTACAGAATGGGGCCTGATTGTTTTCACTTTAATACAAAGTAAAAACTGCTATGATGTTTTTGAGCAAATCCTGCAACCTAGCTACAACTACTTCTAGTTACCTCATCTGCATTGAGCTGTCCTTTCTGCTGAATCGTGGAGGCATTCCTTGGACTGGACCTGCTGCTGGGCCATATGGTTTCTGGTTCTGGTTGAGGAAATGCTGGTTCTGAACCTGTCGAAAGTCACGTGGGCATAGAGGATCACCTTTTTTTAAAGCCGTAACCTCCGGATTTGTAAAGAAAGATC